ATGAACCCTTACAAAACTCTTGGATTTGTTTCTCAGATTTTAGGGGTCATTGCTACAAATCGTTAGTTGAATATAAAAGTATAGATAAAGGAATGTTGTAGGTTGGATTGGAACCATCATTTGTCAATGAATTAAAGAGGTAAACAAATATGAGAAAGTTATACTTTAAAAATAATGAAAAAAAAAGGAATACTCACACTTAAAAAAAAATGTCACTTATTACAATTCCCATGCCGCGCAAGATCTGTTGTTACGGGTTATAAACCAGTTCCACTCAACAAATCAAATCCTTGGAAGTCCTGTTGAAAGAGGCCACTGCCACCAGGAAACATCATTGCCAGGGTGTACATGGTCTGAAACAATCTCTAGGTATGTGGTCAAAGTAACATCCACATCAATGCCAGGACCCAAGGTTTCCAAGCAGAACCTTTCTCAGAGCATAATAGTGCCTCTGCAAGCATGCCTTCTTCACATAGTGCATCCTGCTGCCATCTTTTCCCCAGGCACATGCACCCATCCATCCAACATCCATCCAAGAAAATGTGATTAATCAGACCAAGCAACCTTCTTGCATTGCTCCTTGGTCCAGTTCTGATGCTCTTGTCCCCATTTAAGGTGCTTTCAGTGGTGGACAGGAAATTATGGCACACTGAGCAGTCTGCAGGTATGCAACCCTATACACAGCAAACTGCAATGCACTGTGTGTTCTGACACCTTTCTATCATGGCCAGCATTACTTTTTTCAAAAAACTGAGATGCAGTGGATCTTCTGTGTGATCGCACCAGGCGACTAGCCTTCACTCCCCATGTGCATCAATGAGCCTTGGGTACCCAAGTTCTTGATGCTGGTTGATGCTGGTTCACCGGGTTTCCCTTATTTGCACCACTTTTAATAGGTACTAACCACTGCATTCTGCACGTTTTTGAGATGATCTGACACAGTCGTCTAGTCATCACTATTTGGCCCTATTTGGCCCTTGTCAAAGTCCCTTAGATATTTTTGCTTGACCATTTTTACTGCTTCCACCAAATGAAATTCAAGAACTGACAGTTAATTTGCTGCCTATTATATCCCACCCCTTGCCAGGTGCCATTGTAATAATATAATCAATGTTATTTACTTCATCTGTGGTTTTAATGTGAATATCTGGTGGAGTGTATAAAACTGTGTATGACATTGTGTGTTTGGCAGCGATTGTCTCTAGCAGTGTGCTTTTGTATGCATGTGTGTATCCATCTGTGTTGGTTGTCGTGTGAGTATTTGTGTGTAAGTCTGGCAGTATGCGTCTACATCTGGCTCTGTGTATCTGTGTGTGTCTGAGAATGCATATCTATGCGCATTTGTGTCTGGAACTCTGTGTTGGTGTGTTTTTGTGGGGGAGCCCAAAAGTTTCTTATGGTAGCCCAGCTTGCATGCCTAGGCATAGAACAGCAAGAATACTGTGACATGCTGCAACCACTGCAGGCGCTATTAATGATGGTGTAGCTTTCATCAATTTACTCTTCAAATGAGACAATGGAGGAATAACCTGGGAGAGCAGGACATGATTCCCAAATCATGACTGTCTTGTAGAATTTGACACAGTTGAGAGATAGGCCAAACTCTTCGTCAGGGTTTAGTGTAATGACTTTTACAGGCATCAACATTCTCTCAGATCAAAGAGACCTTTATGGTGTCAGCACCCTCAGAACAAGCTAAACTCATTCTTATCGCACGCAAGAGCCTTTAGGTCCTTTCCAATTGGGTGCAATTTGCTTTGGCTATTCACAATGACACCTAGGCTATCTGTTGTACAAATGACAGGGAAATAGTAGTAAAAATTAAACTTCACATAAGTATATGAACCAAATCAATGCACACTATACTTGTACATCCATGAACCTAACTTTCATGATCACTTTAACCCCTTAAGGACACAACTTCTGGAATAAAAGGGAATCATGACGGAATATTTCCGTCATGTGTCCTTAAGGGGTTAAGCTTAATTCATCTTATCCCTAAAACATTGCAGAATATATACAGCAGAGTACAAATTCATTGGGACAACATGGAGAAACGTAAATTGTTTAGATATTGTATTTCTATAACTTTATGTACACTTATATTACCTAATATTGGTAAGAACTATGTCCGCCTCTAGCAAAAATGACCTCCAAAATATGTTTTGGCATTGACTCTACCAGTTTAGAGCAGGTACGTTTTATTTTATTTTCATGGAACTCTTGGGAAGAATGGAACATAATTCCCTGAAACGTAAGTATTTAAAGTAACATATAGTGCTTGTTTTTACTAACCCAGTAACACTTTCAAATGGAATAAAAAAGTATTGCAATGGTGGATGGGAATATGCATTCTGTTGAAATGTTAAAAAGTTGCCTTTTTTGTCTTTCTTTTTTGTTAGTAGGTCACATTATTTTCACATTTGATTATGGAATATTTATAAAAATTATGCTTTATTATTTTATTTTGACCTCTGTATAAGATAGAAATTTTCCATTATTCACAATGGAAGAAATTGGACAGAAACATTTGAACATCTATTTATATTGCTAGTTAACCGCTGTAGTCGTAGACATGCTTTCTTATGTCCAACTCTACACCAATTTATCCATTTCCTTAGGTCAGATGTAGGAAATCTTTGGCACTTCAGATGTTGTGAATACAAATTCATCTTGCTTCCTTGAAAAGATATCTCCACTGCGACATCGAGGGGTATTTTTTATATACACCCCTATATACTTATTAACCCTTAATAGGGAACACATGGGATGGGCGGCAGCATTGTAACAAAGCTGTGTGATACAAAAAGTGAATACAAATACAAACAGATAAGTCCTGTGCTCACTCCCATCACTCCTGGGCAGCAGCAATGACCACAGTACAGATCAGCCCCAATATATACCGTAAAAAGCAAAGAAAATGTTACCTGCGCTCTCTCCTAAATCTCTATGTATATTTAAACAAATGGAGGTTATTTAGTTACTCCAATGGCCATTGGAAGGAATGCCCGCCTGCCAACGTCAAGGCAGACCCCCCTAGGCGGGTCCTACACTGACTTCAGATGTTGTGGACTACATCTCCCCTGACGCTTTGCCAGCATTATGACTGTAAGAACATGATGGATTATGGATTATGTAGTCCACAACATCTTGAGTGCAGAATGTTGCCTACATTTGCTCTAGGTTCCATTGTTAGAGTGTACCTGTCATTGTACACGCAAGTTTGTTGTCCTAGTAAAAATGCCAACAAATATATATATCTTAATTTAAACTGCTTTAAAATGCTGGCTGCTCCCCATCTACTCAGCATTATACATGTGTGCCACTAGCAATGAAGCCAGCAAGCCAGTGTCAGCATGGGGGATTGGATGTTACAGCACTCTAGCAAGCACAGACCTTCACGAAAGGTGGCAGTGGAGTGAAAGGCAACAGATAGATATATCTTTAACAGCTTCCAAAGCACAAACATGTCTGATTTATCACTATTATAAGTCATATGTTTGCTGCATTGAGTCTGTTCAAATGAATCAGCCATACCAGAGTCAGTTTTATGTGCTCCCTTACAAACTGAGGCTCACATGAACACGCACACTATCCTGTGGCAGGTGCCAGTTAGCCCTCATGTTTGAAACCAACAGTTCAATTGTATATTTTCACATCTGGTAACTATCAGGATTTCTGTTTAAAAGAAAGAAAACAAAGACACATGGCAAGCTTGATGCCTAAAAGTAATTCACTACAAGAATGTCATATAGGTCACAGTAAGAAGAGTTGGGATCCCATGAAAATTACATGCTGCAGGAGAGCCGGATAGTGGCAGGAGAACAGAGGTCAGGGAGTTGCTTTTGATTTTCCAAGGAAGACCCACTGACCTCATTCTTCAGATAACATTTGACCTTTCTAAGTCTCTAGGCCTTTGCTCCACTTTCATGGTGTTAGAGTAAATGTGCAGCTACACAGTCTGGATCTCATTCCTTATTTTTCAAAGCTACCATGCCACTATAGCTTGCAATATGTGGGTTTTGTTTTTAGAATGTTAGATAAATATTGTTAGATACAATTTCAGAAATCTCTCATCAATGTGGATCACCTGATAAAGGAGATCTGTAATTCCTAGTGGATTTCTGAAAGGTTTGGGTTTAGAAACCTTTTTTATCAAAATGTTTGAATAGCTACACATGACCATGATGGGTTTCAATAAAGTTAGTTACATTTAAGGATTACTCGTATTCACTAAATTGTGAATTGTAGAAGGTTCAAAATGAATCCAAAGAAAATTTCACAATTTGGGCCGAACTTGCCTTAGTAAAAATTTTGCTTACTTGGCGACTTTTTCCAATTGAGCTATTTTGCCTTAAAATTTAAAATGTAAATGTAATTAAATTAATTTAAAAAAGATTTAAATTCTTACAATTCACACTTTAGTGAATAAACTCTCTACTTTAGAGAGTCTCTACATGTGTGGTAGAAATGTTCATAAATGGGGTCTTTATAACTTTATTCAACACTGACAGTAAAGTGGAAATTATAGGAACATGTGATAGATCCTATTTTAAAATAAGTACACACTGGCATGAGAAAAAGCTGTAAAACTACTCAGAAAAGCCCCCTATGTCATATTTCTTCTTCATCTCTACACATATGCTGTAACATATATCGGCGGAATTGAAAAGCTGAGTAAAATAATCCACATCTAACTATTCTAAAGGCGTGGCATCCTGCAAGAATCTCTTAAAGGTCTAATTTTATTCTATAATTTATAATTTCTCCATAGCTATAAATAGGGGACCTGGGTGAAACATATGTAAGAGAGACTTTCAACAATTTAGAAAGCACTCCAAACTGCCATTTGATTACTGCATATAACTAATTATCATATGGAGAACATTAAGTAAAAAAAAAAAAAATTAAACTCCGTTCTGAGGGAAAATGATGGATATATATGAGGGGTCTGCATTCTGTTAGTTGGCCTTCAGATCTAAATTCCACCTAAAAGTGGACCCACAGCACCTCCTCGCGGTGACCTTGGGGAGGGTAGACACAAATAGTGGAAGGGGCTGACCCAAAGTGAGCAGTAGAAAGTTTGAAGAGGGGAGTCGCAGAGTGCTCTGTCCGTAGAAGAAGCTCCCATCCTACAAAAGAGCAGCTTCTCCAGCCCTTTCGGAGGATGCACTGGTCCAGCAAGCAACTTTTACAATAGACGTTTACTTGCATTACTTTGTTGAGGAGGTAACATATTCTTTATTTTCTGTGCTGTTTGTTTTTGTTTCATTGTATGAAGGATTTTATTTTTTTCCCTTTTTTCTTAATTAAGGGGGGGAGGGATGGGGCAGATCAGTGTTCTTATTTCAAAGTTATTATATTGTCAAATACTGGATTTGTCTGTTATTTTTGTTTGTTTTGGTGCATAGAGACATTGTAATCAGGAATCATAATGTGTTTAAATGAGCCAAGTCTAGTTAGCATTCAGTGTTTGTGGTGGATGGGCACTATAAGAACGTATTGCTGCCAATGTGAGATCAATATAATATCTTTCTCAACGTTCTGCTTCTGTTGGTTTCACTGCCATAGTTGGAATCTGAGTTGGTGATCTGAGCATTCTGTTAGGATACGTTATAAAGCTGCTTTTTTTTAAGGAGTTCTAAATGAAACCAGAACCACTCCTAAATTTGTAACGGTAATATATTGATACCCTCTGCTGCCTGTGAGACCCCCTGTACAACAGTGACAGACTGGGACCCTCTGTGTAACAGTAAGTGACTGGGACCCTTTGTGTAACAGTAACTGACTGGGACCCTCTTTGTAACAGTGACAGAGGGAGACCCTCTGTATAACAGTGACAGAGTGAGACCCTCTGTGTAACGGTGACAGAGTGAGACCCTCTGTATAACAGCGATAGACTGGGACCCTCTGTGTAACAGTGACAGAGTGAGACCCTCTATGCAACATTCACAGAGTGAGACCCTCTGTGCAACAGTGACAGAGTGAGACAGACTGGCACCCTCTGTGTAACAGTGACAGATTGGGACCCTCTGTGTAGCAGTGACAGAGTGAGACCTTGTGTGTAACAGTGACAGAGTTAGACCCTCTGTGTAACCGTGGAGACCCGCTGTGTAACAGTGACAGAGTGAGGCCATCTCCTGTCTGTGTAACAGTAACAGACTGCCTCTCCTGTAACAGACTCACTGGGCCATTCACTGAAGTAATAATCGTTTGGAATTCTATCTGCATTAAAACTATCTGCATTGGAAACATTCTCCAAAATTAACTATGCTTCCAGTTTGGGTATTTTCATCTAAATTTTTAAATTGATTTTCAATTCCTGACAGTTCTTACTGTGAGACCCTCTGCTGTCTCTGCAGGAGTGATATCCAAGATATCCAAAAGCTGTTTTATTTTAGCATTCAGAGTCCATTATAGTATGAAAAATAACTTGCATTAGTGGGCCACACATGTAAAAATATTTGATTGATGTGCCATTGATTGATCCATTTGATGCCCAGGTAAGAATATATTTGTAATAAGGCCTTCTAGGAATTGTACACAATATTTACAGAATTCCATCAAATGCTTTTTGTTGTTAGGTTTTTTAAAAATCATTTAAAGCTGATAATGAGGACAATTACCCTGCACAATATTTACTTAAAGGGAAACTATAGTGCCAGGAATCAAAGTTATTTAAAAATCCCTTCTGTGACTTACCTGATTCCAGCACCAATGTCCCTCGGCTGGTTCATGCTCCACCTCCGCTCCTCCCCCGGCAAAGTCAACTGGTGGGAGACCTAATGCGCATGCGCATGCATTAGTACTTCCATCATAGGAAAGCATGTATTATGCTTTGCTATGGGGTCTCACATGACGCTGGATGTCCTCTTGTATAGTGTGAGGACATCCAGCATCAGTTAGGTGACCAAAAAGTAGCCACGAAAGGTGAAGTTAACCTTCAAAGGTAATTATTGCAGTTTATTAAAAACTGCAGTTGTTACCTTTGCAGAGTTAAAGAACCACTATAGTGCCAGGAAAATATATTAGTTTTCCTGGCACTATAGTGCCCTGAGGGTGCCCCCACCCTCAGGGTCCCCCTCCCGTCGGGCTCTAGGGTGAGGAAGGGGTTAAACTTACCTCTTTCTCCAGCACCGGGCAGGGAGCTCTCCTCCTCCTCTCTGCCTCCTCCTCGGCTGAATGCGCATGCGCGGTAAGAGCCGCGTGCGCATTCAGCCAGTCTCATAGGAAAGCATTCACAATGCTTTCCTATGGACGCTGGCGTCTTCTCACTGTGAAAATCACAGTGAGAAGCACGCAAGCGCCTCTAGCGGCTGTCAATGAGGCAGCCACTAGAGGCTGGATTAACCCTAATGTAAACATAGCAGTTTCTGAAACTGCTATTTTTATAGAAAAATGGGTTAACCCTAGCTGGATCTGGCACCCAGACTACTTCATTAAGCTGAAGTGGTCTGGGTGCCTATAGTGGTCCTTTAAGGAACCTGGGACACTGCACCCAGACCACTTCAATGAGCTGAAGTGGTCTGGGTGTCTATAATGTCCCTTTAATAATATAGTGCAAAATTGCTATGTATACTTTGTATTTCAATAACTAGATATTGATAGTTTTCTACATATACAAAATCCATGTTAGATAGATGGATGTCAGTGTAATGCAGAATATCTGGACGCGGGGGGCGGGTTAACCTTTGGGGTCAAAAAGGCAATAATTTGCCTTACGTTAAAGCAGTGGTTCTTAACATTTTTTTACTGAGACATAATTTCTAGATTGCATTGTCTATAGTAGTTCCCAAACATTTTTTTGGATGAAGACACACTTCAATCAGCAACATTTACAAGGCATATTTGTTTTAACATTAGCAGTGGTTTATGTCATTATTACATTTGCTCTTTATAGAGAGATAAGTATACTTCTAGCCAAACGGACTTATTAGTTTATTAATATTTGCAAAATAAGGATTCAATTTCCATGCTAATGAAAAAACAAACAAACAAAAAAAAACATTAAAAGGGACACTCTACGTGCCAAAACAACTTTAGATTACTTAAGTGTTTTTGGTGTATGGATCATACTCCTGTAGTCTCACTAATAACAAACAAAAAATATTATTAAAAGTAACATTCTACTCGCCAAAACAACATATATATGTTTTTGGTGTATGTTTTTGTTGTATGGATCATACTCCTGTAGTCTCACTATTAAACCATCTGCCATTTAGAAGTAAAATCACACTTTGTTTATGCAGCCCAGCCACACCTTCCTGCCTGTGACTCACATAACCTCAATGCCAACTTCCTGTAAAAAGAGATCTAATGTTTAAACTTCCTTTATTGCACAGTGAGTTTAATGTAGAATTTCATATCGCTTGCGCTATTGATTTCCCACTAGAGCCTGCAGAATCATGCTTGATTAAAGTTAAATTGACTTTGATTAAAGTTAAATTGACTCTAAAGCATGGGTGTCCAACCTTTTGGCTTCCCCATACCACATTGAATGAAGAGGAATTGTTCTGACCAAACATAAAATATATAATATAATTAATTTATATAATACAACTTCAAAAGCCCTTTTCTTCATTTTGATAGTACATTTGTTTAGTAGGTAACTCCCTTATTTCTTATGCTTATGTAGGATTGCCATATTTAAGGACACCAAATTAGGGAGCTATCTACTAAACAAATACACATAGTTACATAGTTACATAGTTACATAGCTGAAAAGAGACTTGCATCCATCAAGTTCAGCCTTCCTCACAAATGTTGTTGCTGTTGATCCAAAAGAAGGCAAAAAACCTGGTCTGAAGCGCTTCCAATTTTGCCACAAACTAGGAAAAATTCCTTCTTGACCCCAAAATAGCAGTCAGATGTCTCCTTGGATCAAGCAGCTATTACCCCACTAATTAGAAATTATATCCCTGTATGTTATGTTTTTGTAAGTAATTATCCAATTTCAGTTTAAACATCTGTATGGACTCTGACAAAACCACCTCTCCAGGCAGAGATTTCCTTTCCTTATTGTTCTTAATGTAAAAAAACCTTTTCTTTGCCTTAGATGAAATCTCCTTTCTTCCAGCCTAAATGTGTGACCTCGTGTCCTATGTATATGCACATAACCAGAGATAGACACAAACACAAAAAAGATAAGAAGTCCTAATGTTAATCTACCATGCTGTGCAAAAAAAAACCTTATTAATGCTGTGTGAGTTCAAGACCAGCGTGACTGCTAGGCAAATTATGCAGCCGCCTAAGATGCACCAGGGGCGCTATGACTGGGTGGCTGGCAGGAGGGGAGCACACTGCACAGCGCTCCCACTCCTGACAGTCACTTCATGTGGCATGGCCGAGAGGACCATGGTAGAGGATCTTCTGTATCTTTTACCAAGTCTGATAGGAAGCTGTTTGTTACTCCTAGTGAGCAGCTTCCTATCAGACTAAATAGAGGATACAGAAGATCCTCTGCCATGGCCTGCTCGAATGTTGGCAGACACAGGAGGGGAGGGGGGAAAGAGACCACTGGTAGAGCGATGGAGGACAAAGAGGCACACAGGTGGGCTGGGGGGAGAAAGAAACCCACAAAGGTGCTGAGGGGAAGAGACACATAGAGGATCTGGGGAATGGGATAAAGACACACAAAGGGGCTGGGGGACGAAAGAGACACAGAAAGTTGGCAATTTTTGTTTTGGGTGTGGGGGGATACAAGTAGCTGATCTTGCCTAGGGCAGAAAATAGTCTTGCACAGGCCTTGTGTGAGTCGTATCCAAGAGATGTGTTGCCAGAGTTGCATAAACAGATTTAACTTCTAAATAGCAAATGATTAAGCAGTGAGCATGACCATTAGCTTTACTAATCTAAAGTTGTTTTGGTGCTCTGAATATCCCATCCAGGATTGCATTATGCCTATTGCAGCTGAAAGACAAATTGTTTGTGTTACACTTTCAGGTTTCTTGTGCCATGACAAACCAGTTGAAAAATACTGGTTTGGGAAACTATTTTATATTTTATGGTTGCAAAAATACTTTTGTGACCAATTCGTATACTGTATGATATGCAACAAAATTAATTCTTCAACATATGTCGTCAAGACTCCAGGAATAATACAGAAATCAGAGCCACCAAAATAGCAATGGGATCCAATTTTGAATTCCGATCGATGGTTTAATAATCACATAGTTTAAAATTATTACACAATTTGAGTTATCTGTTTTCTGAAAAGGATTACCATAACAACACTGAAATCAATTACCATATATAGATCTTATATGTGATATAAGATCTAAATATGGTAATCGATTTCAGTGTTGTGTCTGCATAGAACATTTTAGGAGGGCTTGCTAAAGGCAAGGATACACAGGTTCTGATTTGCTAGTGGTTATGTTGACTAAAACCCTATGTTGCTAAAACAATGTCTCTTTTTTGGTTCATTGGATTTCAAGTAAGTTTACTATCTTTTTTGTATTTATTTATTTTCTTGGTTTTAAAGGGGATTGCTGCATACTATACCCAGTAGGGCATTGTAATTTAAAATAAAATGTTTGTTATAAAGGGTTAGAGTAACCCTTTAAGGAATAACTTTTTCTTTTTGTTTTTGAATAATATTTTATATCTCTGCAGTGACAACCATGACTCGACTACCTGTATTGTGTTTGCTGCTCTGCTCTGTGTTTCATTCTCTCTTGGCACAGAATGATGTTGATCTGGCTCAACCATGTGCAGGTAACTTGACCACATATGCTGACACTGTAACAGTTTTAACAGATGTCCAGGCATTTTATGATTTTGGCCAAACCCTCATGCATACCTGCTCAATTTTACATAATTGCACAACTTTATCTTAACACAATCTCCTTCAATGTTCTCTTTCCAAGCGATGTCTTGCGCTACACCCTCTGATGAAAATTCATTAAGATCATATCAAATCTCGTTGGGTAGGTTTGATGGTTACCCGTGCCATATGTTTAAAGATATATCACAGAGCATGCATCTATGTAGAGGGATCCATGTTACAATGGGTAGATGATAAAAGTGATATGGTCTCATTTATGTTCTGCTACCCAGAATCTCTCTGTTTGTTGATTGACATGTTCTGTGTGGTCTACTTGTGGCACTTCAAACTACCTGCATGGTCATTTTGTACCCTCTTAATGAAGAATGAAATGTTCTGTGTTCCATTGGAGCATTTTTGTTCAAAATCCTAACTGTACACAGATACTTTGGTTTCACATCTCATACCACCGACTTGTTTCGTAAGCCTTCACTGCTACTTTTGCACAAGAAAGTATATTTATGTCCACTTGCATCCTTTTCACTGAATACGCATGAATGTAATACAGTGTCTTTTCTTTACACTTGCACATTAACATATTCCTGTAATGTCTCCAAATCCTGCCTTGTACAATGTTCAGGAGTTTATTGTGTTCACCTGTATACACTGACAAAATCCATGTGGTCTTCCTACAGATAAGATCAACTGCCCAATCAATGTATACTTCATCATTGATACATCTGAGAGTATCATCCTCCAAACTGCACCAATCCAGAGTTTACTAGATCACATGAAACGCTTCATTCCTAAATTCCTTGAGAAGTTGGAGAATGCGGCATATCTAGACCAGGTTATGCTGTCTTGGCAGTATGGTGGCCTCCATTACTCAGATGAGGTGAAATCATACAGCAAAATGACCACCAATAAGAATCAGTACATAGAAGATCTCCGCAAAGTGCAGTACATTGGTCGTGGTACCTTTACAGATTGTGCCATCTCCAATATGACAGCTGAAATTCAGGCTCAAATCCAGACTCAAACCGAGAAAACCACCAATTTTGCCATAGTTATCACAGATGGTCATGTGACTGGAAACCCATGTGGTGGTGTGAAGTTCCAGGCAGATAGGGCTCGGGATCTTGGAATCAAGTTGTTCGCTGTTGCTGCAAGCCATGATGTTTATGAATCAGGTCTTCGAGAGATCGCAAACCTTCCTCATGAGTTGTACCGGAACTCATACACTGTGACCACTGCTGCAGATCAGACCGTAATAGATGAGAAAACCATTGATAAAATAATCCAGGTCATGGTAAGTATGTTGAACGGAACAGAATACCACACTTACACATTTTGTACGCGAATGTGTGCATTTGTTTTTGTATCGCAAATATTTTTTAATTATAGAAAAATAATTCCATTCACAAAGTTGTCACACAGAGTTGATATTTTTATTTTCTACTACTGAATCTAATCATCCATCTCTTTAAACAAAACCATTTATGTATTCAGTTGAAAACCACAAGTCAATTAATATACGTCTGTAATGTGCACACAAAATAGTGTGATTGACAGCAGCTAACATACTCAGAAAATACACAAACCAAAAGTGGGCAGCGACACCCTTACTAATTATAGTGAAAACATTAAAATAATGAAGATCAATTCTGCCATTCCAGAAAGTGAAGGTGCAAAACAATAATAATATTATGAGTAATATGGAGGGTTTAAAAATAACAAGAATATTTGGTTTATTAAAAACTAGACGGGAATAAAATTAAAATTGAGGGAGAAAAAAAAAATACTGTGAGAAGAGCATGAACAGAAAGAATATGCACACAATACACAAGTATTGCAACAGCTATATGTGGAAACATCACTTTCCCATGTGATGTCAGTGTGTAGGAGCTGGAGTCTGGGTTCCCTAGAGTAAAGGATCACTATAGCGTCAGGAACACAAACATGTATTCCTGACCTTATAGTGCTAAAACCACCATATAGCCCCCCTGGGCCACTCATGCCTCCATAAATATAGTAAAAATCTTACTGTATTCCAGCCAGAAGCTGTAACTCTGCATGCTGTTAGACTCAGAAAAACAAACAGTCTGCAGACATCAGCAGAAGTGGTGGCCTGATCCAATCACAATGCTTGGATTGGCTGATTGGCTGAGACTGACAAAGAGGCAGATCAGGGGCAGAGCCAGGATGATTCAAACACAGCCCTGGCCAATCAGCATCTCCTCATGGAGATGAATTGAATCAATGAATCTCTATGAGGAAAGTTCAGTGTCTGCATGCAGAGGGAGGAGACACTGAATGTTTGGATGCATTTTAGGCAGCCATGACCCAGGAAGGATCTCTAACAGCCATCTAAGGAGTGGCCAGTGAAGTTGTCAGTAGGCTGTAATGTAAACACTGCATTTTCTCTGAAAAGACAGTGTTTACAGTAAAAAGCCTGAAAGTAATGATTCTACTCACCAGAAAAAAAATTCAATAAGCTGTAGTTGTTCTGGTGACTATAGTGTCCTTTTAAGCTGGACATAAATATGGCAAGGACTTAAGATAACTAATGAGGGAAGCTTCCAACCAAAATATCCTATACAATAAGCTCTAATGGGACTGTCACTTTAACAAAATGCATCAGAAATTAATTCATTCCAGGGCCAGTGCTACAGTAATGCAAATGAGACTTTTGCCTGGAGCGCTGACCCAAATGGGAACTCTCTGCACTTCCACAGATTGGAGAAAAACAACTGGTCAGCACAATCATCTATTTACAGATGTTTACCTGTTACAGAGTGCCTGCACCTTACGGTTGTGAGCCCAGCACACTGTTTCCTTTAGGAAAGTAGTACAAGTGGGAACACATACAGCAATCTGCAGCTGAGATGCATACATAGGCTACACCCATATGAGCTACTGGGATCAAGCAGCTCTCTTTGCACAGGTCACATGAAAATACACAACCATCATCACAATGTAACCTCCACACGCAAATATATGTCCCATGTGTCCCTATTTTGAAGGAACAGTCCCTATTTTTGGCCCAAATTCCTTTGCCCCTTTTTTCTATCCTAATATCCATCTTTTTTAGGAGCTCCATATTGTTGATGTGTCTGAGTGTATAACAGAGCTACAAGGCAATAATACTGTTTATATTAATGGATATTTAAACTACAATATATCTGTTTGGAAATCAGTCTGTGTAACGAAGATTCATTGTTCTTGGTCTAAAATAAATTTTGTTTAATTATCAACAAGTCACCTAAAATGTCCCAGGACAGGTCTGGCCCTAGTCACACCCCTAATATCAAAGTGGCCCTTTATCCATTTGACATTTTGGGAGGTATGCACAACTACCACCACACACATGCAGTGCCCCACACAGCTCCTATCACAAACAGAAAGCCACACGCACCATTAATCTAACATTTAAATCCCATGTAATACATGAAAACACATACCAAAACATACAACCCCTGTCAAGAAACCGTGGCATCTTGTTCTGACCTGAAGTTTACTCCTTCTGTCTCTTAACATACACACAGGATAATCAAACTATCCACTGGAACAATGACTCTGAGTGGGCACCCTGCCAAGCATAGACTAGTGGGGAAATCACATGATCTCAAAGACCAGACATGCACCTCCGTAATGCTTCAAGGGAGCTTATGGTCTGCCCTTCTGATGGGTGCAGATCAGTCAGCATTCCCTCTTATTTAAGTATCTCAGTGTTACTCATTGAGGAGTGCCAGAGTAGGACTTGTACAAACTGTGATATTTTCCTGCCATAGATAGAGACCAAGACCAAAGCTCCCCCCACAGGTCTAAAAGGGATCCTGCCCACTACAGCAAAACCAGGAATTATAACCCCGTCAAGCAGAGATGGCAGACAAAATTTTTTTACAATTAAATTGTGGGGTAGCTGAAATTACAGCACATATTCAAATCACACAGCCTGTACCCACACATAACCACCTCATACACACAGCTTATCTACACACTCACAGCACACACAACTTATGTCCAGCACATGCAGCCTCCCAACACACAGCCTATACTCACAAACACAACACACTGTTTCCACACAACACAAAGCAACCTCCACTCTCTTCCTCACACACATGCATAGCAACATTCAAAACAAGCCGACTGGCAGACAGTGGCAAATTCTAACAAGGATGAAAACAGAGGGCTAAGTGAGACTGGCAGATAGATAACGGGGGAAATGACAGTTTGAGTACAGATATGTGCAGTGTGAGATTTAAAAAAAAATGAAAAAAGAGACTGCAAATGTGGGATATTCAAGGGGGGCAGGGGTTCAATGACTTGGTGGTGCAGCTGCTCAAATTATATACAAACAAATATGTAATTATAATAGTGTATATATTTTAGCATTAGAGTAAGTTATATACCTATAGAAATATATATTACAAATAAACTATTCAATTTGTCAAATATATTTCTAATATAAATGATAAAAGTTATATTTTTTCCAGAGACTACGTTTTAACTGACACAGAGTTATTAGTTGCTCATATTTGTTTTCAAAAATGCTAAATATAACTGATTTTATGTCTTCTTTGTATTTTTCAGAAACATGAAGCTTATGGAGAGGTGTGTATACCCACAGTCTGTACAGTTAACACACAACTGGGGATGCAAATGCAATAATAATACAGAGTGCTCCGCTACAATGACACATAGAACTGTGTACTCAGAATATTTAAAAAATTGAGGGCAGATTTGACAGATAAAATGTTTGATATTTTGAATTTTATAATTTTTTTTCTAATTCAGCAATAATTTAAAAAGGAATAATTTATTTACACATAAATAAATTAGAGCAAATTTTTAAAAAGACGACTATTAAATCTGCTACGTAAAACAATGTTAGTTCATGATTAATAACAGTCTTCATGCACAACCAGGTTTAAAATTCTTCTTAATTATACAAAATCGACCTTTCTATGCTCTTCTGAGTTCATGTTTTGGCATTATCTGGAGGTTTATTTAAAAAAAAAGCTCATACTGTGGAAAAACTAACAAAGGATACACATATTTTAGTTTAAAACAGAATGAACGTTTTATCATGTTTCTATTTTCTGCATTTTTGGTGTAAAATTTTCGAGTCATCAATTTTCCATTTTATGATTTTGAAAAAAACAAAACTTTGTGATAGCTAATCAGCTCAAGTTTAAAGTAGGGAGTTTACAGTTGCGTTAGGGAATTCCTAATTCCTAAATTCTCAAAAATGCTATACTTTATATATTAACTAGCCAACTCGTTACAGTTAGGGTTATTTATAGTTAAAAAGGATGAGTTAAATTATAAAAATCACAATTGCCTTATTAACATACTACTAAAGGTGGAGCTGTCATTTGTGTGGAGGTGACAGTTCCTTATTCCCTCACCTCAGTAAATTATGTTAAAGTCCTTACTTTAGCAAATGGTGCCGCAGAGGTAAGTTAAAAAAAAGTACTTTTTTGGTAGTTCTTTGTCCAAGGCAATGTCATCTCCAGACAATGCTCCTAACGTACTTATCTGAGAGTAATGCCGTATGAATACATGTGCGCTCTGACATTCCTTCCTTCCTCACACAAATGGCACTGTTAGAGTTTAGTTGCAATAAAAAAAAAATAATCTAAAAACAACTATTGAAAATTAAAAATAAAATGGCAAAATCCATATCTAACTTTTAGGTATTCATTAAGTATGTATAAAAAATAATTCTGCTTCTGCTTCAAAGGAACACTCCAAGCACCATAAAAACTTTAAATGAATGAACTTATGGTACCTGGATTAGTTCTTTAATTACTAAGTGACGTTTCATCCATAATGACACTTTGTACTGCATTTGCTCCTTTTCCACTTTAAAACATAGCACTTAGAACTAACTTCTCTTTAAACAATAAGTTACTTTGCACATGCACATATACAAGAACATTTCCTATAGTAGACTGTTCATTAATCTTTGACTACAGATGAATGTTTTTGATATTTACCCAGGACATACTTGAAAACGAGAGAAATCTCAATGTATCCATCCTTGTAAAATATTTTATAAACATAAATATAAATGAAATATAAATATATACTGTACTTATACAGCATATTTCCCTATTTAACCAGGAGATGGCAGTAGAACACTGTTGCTGATATAGATAATGGAAACTGTTATTAAATATAATGATATTGTTTGTGAAGATGAGATGTTTTGCACTTTATTGCCACTGCTGCAGATTTTACAATTATGAGGTTTGACATGTATATATAATAATTAAATACACACTCATAAATTTGCTATATATGTTTAACCCCTTTAGGACACATGACATGTGTGACATGTCACGATTCCCTTTTATTCCAGAAGTTTGGTAATTAAGGGGTTAAAGTAGAAGCATTTTTTTTTTAACTTTAAATAAGGAGCATGAATTAACCTTAAAATAATAAAAAATAAAGTGTAGTTGCTTTAAAACAAAATGTTTGTAAAGTATGTCCAATTAATTGAGCCTTGGCCAGATTTAGAAACAAAAACTCTTTTCACAGTTCCAGTGGGCATAACTAATCAAAAACGGTCTTCGTTTTCCATTAAAATTACCTTCCAGGTGTACTAACTACTTTTATTAATCACATTTCAACCCAAGTGCCTGCTATCGTCTTAGAAGATTACTTATCACTCCTAGTTTCGTGTTGTTTTCTTTTTCATGTAGAAAGTACAAATTTAACTGGGGGGCGTATGTATTTGTTTATTTGCATTGCTTTTTGCTTTGTGGGTTGTGTTTTTGTTTTTGTTTCTTTGTTTTTTTTTTTGTTTCTCTCCTATGGCGGTCTGCTGCCTCTGCTTTCGGTCAGGAATACATGCCCGTGCCTAGTAGTCTGGTCATAGATTATCCAATGAATAGAGAGTTTGAAACTTTGAATCAAATAGAGAGTTTGAAACTTTGAGTCAAATAAAATTATAGTGTAAGACTTGTTCACAAGGTTAAAACATGAACAAAACTGAGAGTTTTATAATTGACATATTAGTTGACTCATTATAGTTAGGATTAATAAAACAAGCCCTGTTTTTCAAGTATTCTTTTAGAAGTCGTTATGAGTAATGTAAGTAGATTAGCAATTATTAATAGAATACCATACATTATGCTTCATATCAAATAGTATCAGTTAATTAAATTGATAATAAACCTAATTATATTTTGTTTTTGTTTTTTTCCAGTGCTACAAACTCAGCTGTTTGCAGATCACAGGACCCAAAGGTATGCCAGGGCCAAGAGGACAAAAGGTATGTATAGTAATAAAATAACAATGAAGCCACACTAAATATTTGTATTGTTGCCCCTCACTAATAGCCAATTATTGATTTAATTGAACGTAGAAGAAAGCAAATGAAAGCATAGTGTTTGTTCAATATAATACTCTTATTCATGTTGAAGCTATAATGTACAGGCCCATTTTTAAAATGTATTTGTTATTTAAATATAGAGGACTAAAACGTATAAAAACCAAAAGATACATAAGTGACAATACACTTATATAATAAGTTACCCAGTCAAACTTCAGAACTGGAAAATGGAAAGGAACAGAATCAGTAGACGTTACAGAAATAGATGAATACACTCTACAGAGGGTAATAATGTACAAAAATTGGAATAGGACAAGAGCTAATATTGGCCTCACAATGACACAAGATATTTTGGCTTGTCTGTTCTTAAGGAGTATATCTTCTTTCTCATGAAATCTTCTATAACCACTTTGCCTTATATAAAATATGAGGAAGTAGAAAGACACAATTGTGCAATATTGTAAGACATATTTGTTTATTAGAGCAAAATTGCAGATAAAGTGAGCATATCACCACTTCTGGTGGTCAGATTCCCCAACTGGAACACCAGAACGCCAATGGTTTAAAAGACACAGAGAATATAAATAAATGAAATAAACTAAAACAAAACGGAGGCTTCCAAGTCCCAATGTGTTTAGTCTAAATATAGCCCTTTTTTTATCTAAACCTGAAGACGTCTCTGGTTTAGACAAATGCATTGGAACGTTGAAGCCTCTTTTATTTTGTTTAATTGAATGTAAGGAATTGAGTATGTTTGCAGTTTAATTGAAAGTTCTCGTTTTTCAATAATAACTTTTAGAAAAAAATTGAAGAAGAAAAATATTCTTCACTTGCAAAGTGCAGTAATATCACCCAATACCAACAAATTTATTTGACTTTTGTTGCTGTCTTCTTTTAGGGTGCAAAGGGAAATGCTGGTGACCCTGGAGATGCAGGTTTAAAAGGACGACAGGTGAGTGCCCTACATGTGGTTTAAGATAATATTAAGTTAATCTTGAGTCTCCATTAAGAACCAGAGTATTCTACTTGTTAGTAATACGTTTCTGTCTTTTTAGGGGGACCCTGGAATTGAAGGACCAATTGGTTACCCTGGTTCAAAGGTAAGTCTATTTGATAAAGAAGAAATACGGCAATTAATTATTTTGCTCTACCTTAGTATTGTCCATGGTCTTACATTTTTTTTCTTGTATCTTACAGGGACTGCCTGGGTTCAAAGGTGAAAAGGTAAAGGGGTTCATTTTGCCTTTTGATATGGTATATAAAGGTATACCATTGCCCAAGTAACACTTTCTATTTTTGTTACACAGGGAGATTTTGGTGGAGATGGACGTAAGGTAAGATGAGTTCTTTTTATGGGACCTCTATATTTTGGTTACTTATGATGTGTATGGAAACTAACACGTTTTCTCTTTATGTCAGGGAATTGCTGGGTCACATGGAAGAAATGGAACAGATGGACAGAAGGTGAGAATACCTGTTTCACATACTTAAACATTTTAATTAATTTCATTGTCTGATGAGTTTGTCAGTTTTTTTTACTCTCCATGTATCATTAATGCACCCTCATCTAAAGACTAACATGCCAGTGAAATGTGACTCTGAGAATACTGATAATCATTTTTTTTGAAAGAAGGAAAGTGGCTCTTTTGACCCTGATCTTGATTGTTCTTCATTCCAATGCTGATCTTGTGATGGAATGGCTTTCCTTCCCCAGTCAGATCATGGTCTAATTAGAGCCCATGAGCCTAATTTTCCAGCTCACAACCAATACAGCTCCCATATACCCAACACTCTTGTCCGTATTATAGTATCTCTCTTATTTCAGCTGAGGTCTCTCTTTTTGGGTAGCTTTTTCCTCATGTCTCTTTTGGGTGCACAGGGCAATTTCTAACATACTGATACAGAAACTTGCATATCTATTGGAGTGTTTGAGAAAATGAAATATCCTAAATAGAAGAATACAAATGATATCTAAAGGAGGCTGATTTGAAACAATCCTCAGATTCAGTTGAACATTGGCAAATTCTTTGTCTTTTAAAACATTTGAAAGTTTGAACAAAAGCAGAAATTGATATTATAGCTTCTCTACAGTGACAAGATATCTCTTAGAGACAGCTGAAGATACAGTCTGAACTTGCAGAAACATAAACAAAAAAAAAAAGCAGTTTGGCTTTTCTTAATGTGTACAGACACTCAACAATGTTCTCTTTTTCATTGTCAGGGAAAATTTGGTCGCATTGGTACCCCTGGCTGTAAAGGAGATTCTGGAGAAAAGGTAAGAATACCCCTGATAGGACTCTATATTTTACAAGAAAAATCAATTTTAGCACAACTTGGTTTTGTTCCACTATAGTATGAAAGTGATAATGTGTTAGTTGTTCGTATAACTAGCTCTTATGTTTTCTGTGAATAAGGACAGTTTGTTAGCAGCCTAGTAGGACGTGACAGTTTTTCTTATCAGGGTTGGATCAGAATGGTAGAGCGTGTTGGTTTGTTATAAATAAAAAGTAACTATAACTGTACCAAATGCTTAGGATTAACACAGGGGAATATTAATAGTTTGATTTAGACCCATCATTGGTGTTCATCAGTCCATGCTTTGTCTGATTTTGGAATAGATTCATAGGAAAGCTTAAAGAATACAGAATAAAAAAAAAAGGTTATGGTCACCATGGCTTAATGATAAATAATGTTTAAGTAATAATATTTATATTTTCTAATTTAGGGTCCAGATGGTTATTCAGGAAATGCTGGAGATCGTGGAGAAGATGGAGATGCTGGTGTAAAGGTATGAGTTCATAATAAAATGTTGGATTAGCAGGTTCTTCAACCACATTTTGTCAAAGTATCTATAGTATCCAACACAACAGTTGTATTAGTGTTAGTTGTATTAGTGCTACCTCATAAAAGCCAAATAAGCTAAGCTGACTTGACATCCTCATTGTGACACCCTGCTTTTACTATTAGAATGTAGTGATACGTAATCATTGTTGTTACACAGTCTTCATTTTTAAACTAATATTTTAAAGTCCAAATGAGACGTCTTAGTTTGGTTCATGTGACATCTATGAATTTCAGCCCAAGATGGGAAATACCTGATTGCACGACCTTAAAGTATGATTTAAATTATGTAATGCATCATCTAGCAGTTGAGATAAGATAATTAAAGGTGTCTGTGTGTAAGTTAGTTTTGTACTGTTTGTAAGGATTTTAGACTAAATTTATTTTACATTTTAATATTGAGACCTTAGTTACAGCAATTTACAAATATTACTGATTGTGAATAGAAATTTGAACAGGAACACATCGTAATCTATACTCTGTTTATTTGATGTTTTTTAGTTTAGCAAGTTGTTGTATGATGTACAGGTTAAATGGCTTGGTAATTTTGTCCTTACAATTGCAGGGTGATCCTGGACGTCCCGGTCGTTCTGGACCTCCTGGGCCATTTGGAGAAAAAGGAGATAAGGTAACAGAAATATGATGATTTTGTTAGGGACCAGGAACCAGACAGAGACAGAACATAGATGCAAAACACCTTTATTAAAAGATAGCAAACCAAAAGCAAAGCCCAGGAGGCAAGCAGGGGTCAGGCACCAAAGTGGGTAGTCAGACGAGCTGGAATCAGGAGAATGGAGAGAAGCGGAGTGAGGAACAAGACCAGAAGTCAGGAACACACAGAAAACAGGAAACAAGAAGTCTTCTGGGAAACAGCAAACCATGCAAGGGCAAGGAGGTACTGGAACTTGCTGCTTAAAGAAACTGCACTGATTAGCATAAAGGCTGGCTACTTACAACCAGGTGAGTAACCGTAGCAACATTAATGAAGGAGCTGATCGTTAAAAACAGCTGAATAGCCCAGACACAGAGTAAGGAAGGGTTACTGTTTATAACAGCAGAGAAACCCTGACAGATTTGCTCATGAAAAAAGGTGTATGTGGTTAAACTAATGTAGAGAAGATATTATTTGGGCTTCTCTCTAGTACAAAAAATAGTTACATAGATATTCCTGCGCTAGAGGTTGATTGAAGCCTGTTTCTGGCTCTCCAAGCTCTCTCTCCTCCATTCTTTCTCCCTCACCTCGTGGCACTCTAATACCTGGGTTCCTTCCAGTACCACGGCCAAATTCCTGGTCTGAGAGGGGCTCAGTGTTAAAGGAGCGCTCAGTGTTTAAATGGAGCACTCAACTTGGCAATCTTTAAAGGGACACTATAGGGTCAGAAACACAAACATGTATTCCTGACCCTATAGTGTTAAAACCACCATCTAACCCCCTTGGCCCCACCTTGCCTCCCTAAATATGGTAAAATCTTACTTGTGTTCAAGTCTGCAGCTGCTGCCCCTGCCCCTAATCTGTCTGCTTGGCTGACATCATTGGAAGTGGTGGTCTGAGCCAATCACAATATTTTCCCATTGGATTGGCTGAGACTGTCAAGGAGGCAAATCAGGGGCAAAGCCAAAACAAGTCAAACACAGCCCTGACCAATCAGCATCTCCTCATAGCGATGCATTGAATCAATTCATCTCTTTGAGTAAAGTTTGGTGTGTCCGTGCAGCGGGTGAAGACACTGAATGATAGGAAGCACCTCTAGTAGCCAACTGAGGAGTGGCCAGTGAAGGTATCATTAGGCTGTAATGTGAACACTGTATTTTCTCTGAAAAGACAGTGTTTACTGCAAAAAAACCTGAAGGTAATTATACTCACCAGAATAAATACAACAAGCTGTAGTTGTTCTGGTGATTATAGTGTCCCATTAGGAAGAGTCTTTGTGAATAGCTGTAAATCCAATAAAGCCAATTTTTTGTTATGTTGGTATTGTTCGTAGGGTTTTTGTATTGTTAAAACTAGTTTTCATAGTACAGGGAAAGGGAAGGGAATGGTCTCACTTTGTTTGTCAGTGTTTTAAATCGTGATATTACTAATAAGAGGCAACCAGAGAAAGGTGCACAGTTATAGTGCAAAAACAAATGTATGCCAAAAATATGGATGGATATTTGCTGAATAAAGTTTGTATTACATCCAGGGCTTTGTGTACTCCAGATTTTATTTATTTGTCTTGCTTCAAGTTCGCATCATACTTTTTTCACTTTTGTCTCCCATTCTCTCAAGACTGATCAGATTGTGTCTTTCTTTCCTCCTACTCTCATTTCATTACATCACATTTTCCACTTCAGTCTTAGTGCCCTCATCGCATTTCCCTCTCTACGCGTTTTAAGAAAATTAGGTTTTCCACTTGCAGAAAGTGTTAAAAAAATATTAATCTCCCTCTCTCATAAAATTCTTGTCATTTAATTATTGTAACATATACTTTCGATTCTTGTTTCAATGTACACATTCCCCATGCTACCAACACCACTGTCTCTGCACAATCCTTCAACTCGTCTCCATAATAATTTCTTCTTACTGTGAACATAATTGTCTCTATTTACAGTTCTTAATATTTATTGTTATGCTTTTGGTGTACCCTTCACGTATCATTGATCACTCTCCATCTTCCTTTCTCTATCATCTCAGGGTCCTGCAGGGAACAGTGGAGCACCGGGATCTCCTGGAACGAAAGGCGGGAAAGGAGGCCTTGGTACAGAAGGACCAAAAGGAGAACCTGTAAGTGGTGTAGATAGTGCACAAATATGTATGTCATTGCTTACATTCTTGCCTGTTTTTATGAGTTCTTTTGAAACAGTCTTTCCTTTTAAGTAATTTTGTGGCATCATGTAGGACAGTAATTCCATTTCGTATCCTGATATTCTGTTCCGCGGCACTCTTTCTCATGCCATGCTGTGCTGCTATCTTATTCATTACTATTATACCTTATACCTACTCTGCTCTTTGTTGTCATGTTGTAATTTTACTTTCTTTCACCTTTAAATTATACAAAAAGGGACGCAGAGGGGACCCTGGAAATAAGGGAGCTTCAGGAGGAAATGGTTCCAAAGGAGAGAAGGTTAGTGATCATATTCTGCAATAAAATGTAATACTATACAAAATTGTGTTTTATAACTCACATGTATTTCTTGTTATGTTACATTTAGGGAGATCCGGGCCCAGAGGGTCCTCGAGGCCTTGGGGGAGAAGCTGGACTTAAAGGAGGAAAGGTGACTAGAAGAATAGCATCCCAAGCATGTGTTGACTTTTGTAACTTGTATGGTACCTTTCTAGTACACACTGGTAAATGCCAACATTGATCTTCCACATTGTTGAATGTCGCACATTGGTCCAAACATTTTAGTTACTGGGTTCCAACTATGACACATAATTCAGCCGTATATACTGTCTGTACTTTACAGTTTGTATGTTACAGCTTTCATATTATATCATGCTAAATGATTTTTGCCTTTTAGAACACAGTTAGAACTCCTATAGAATGTAAGCTCGATTGAGCAGGGTCCTCTTCAACCTATTCAACCTATTGTTCCTGTAAGTTTATTTGTAATTGTCCTATTTGTAGTTAAATCCCCTCACATAATATTGTAAAGCGCTACGGAATCTGTTGGCGCTATATAAATGGCAATAATAATAATAATAGGACACGTACCATACATTATTCATGATATCATGTTTGCTGAAGGTCAAACCGTAAATAATTCTGGTGCACTTACTACTGTCTACTTGTAAAAATCCAGCATGGATAGCACCTGCAGACAGCAGTGTATAGAGCCTTGGACACTTACAAAATGTTACAGTAACAATTGGTTGATGAGTACCCTTCTCAAACCAGCTTAAAATCTTTAAGGAGCTCTGGTATAAAAAGACAATATAAATTGCTTTCTTGTATTTTACAAGGTTTGAATGTGGATAATGCTGCATTGTGAATGCCATCGTAGTCAAGCATGATCAATCTTAAAGGCCCCAGATTGTGGGAGAGAGCCGGGACAGGGATATTTGAGTGGGCAAATGCTTATTTCTCAGGTTCCCTCTACTACTCTACTCTAATTTTAATGCTGTAGCTTTAGATAATTTTGAAACCTAGGCTGGGGTACCACCAGTGTCCAATTAGACAGCCCTGTCCCAGGCATATGATTTTAAACTGTGATACATTCAGGCAGCATTGGGCAAATTACTTGTAATTACAATTCATTTTATTAATTCTCTTGTGCATGTTAAGTCACTAGCTCATTAACATTATCAAAGGCAAAAAAAGACAGAGGTAATAATATAACCTGGATGATAAATATTTAAGTCCTCCTAAATAAAGGATCAGTATGGTTACAAATGGATACGAAGTACAATCCAAATTTGTTCTTATTTTTCTGTAGGGCGATCGCGGACCACCAGGACCACGGGGAGACCAAGGACTTCAAGGTCCTCCTGGCAGGAATGTAAGTACTTTCATTGGTTTTCTTTTTCTGCATTTACTATTCACTGGTTATGTATCTTCTCAACTGTCTGTGTACAAATATACCGAGAACCCTTTGTAAGTAAACACCCATAATTTAAGTCAGGTGTTTTTAAAAATGGTTAACCCTGCACCCTTATAGTATGTGAGTTTAGGTGAGTGCAACCTTCTTTTTTTCTCATGTAAACATATTTGGGAGATCAGGAAAACTCCCTTGGTTTTGCACCCCTCCCTGTTGCTGAGACACTTAGAAGGCAGTGTGTATTTCTGGCTCTATTATTCTCTGCCAACAGTTATTCATATTTATATTTGTTGATCTTAAAATAAAAAATAATGATATGCTTGTATGTATGTAGGTCCGTCAAGATGAGCTCACTTGGTTTTGTACCTCCCCCTGTCCCAGGTGCCTCATTACAGGTCCCTATTTAACCTTGCTCTGCAGAGAGTCCCAGAAAGATGGATTTTCCAAAATTTAGAATAATAAAACAACGCAGGTGGTGCTAGAATAGGATCTGCCAGAATGGGGTACATTGATCATACATTGCATAGGCCTTCCGCAATGCAATATACTGTAACTAAACATTATTTTTGCATAAGTCAGGTGGTTTTATATCTTTTAAACTAAATATATAAATATATATATATATATATATATATATATATATATATATATATATATATACATATATATATAATCGCAGGGCATTTTCCATTTCTTCTCTTATTGTTGTAATTGTATCATTGTTTGTCAGCTTTCTCAATAATGTTAACTCTTCTGTTCATTCTTCTAGGGGTCACGTGGAGATCCAGGTGACATGGGAGAGAGAGGAGTTCCTGGACAAACTGGACCAAAGGTATATCGATGGTGCTGAATAATTATTATGCATTAATAAATTACTTTTTTCAGTGGATGCATACACCATAGGAATGTTAATATAGGTGCCAACAGTCCTGAATTTCCGTGGACAGTATCACAGTCAAGTACTGTCACAGCCAAGGCTCCTTGTAATTATCTCTCCCCACCAGTCTATATAAGCCGAAAAGATACATTTGAGTGCTGTAAACAGACCCAACCATTGGTCAGCTGCCTGTAGACATATACCTATTCTAAATAATTGGAAACCTGACCCTGCAGTGACCTATTTTGAAATCTGCTGGCAGGATGGGACTACACATTTCAGCAATGCTCTGTGCATGGACTTCCTTGAGGGCGCAGTTAGCCTGGCCACAATCTTTAAGTGAGTGACAATTCCCCACCAGCCCTGATGGGACAGGCCCACCCCCCTTGCGCAGTGCCTTGCGCAGCCGGCTTTCTGTTAACACATACCTATCAACGTTCCTTGCCCACCTCCATCCCAGAAGATGCAAGACCGAAACAGCACACAGTGAGGTTGAAAAAAATCAAGGAACATAACGAAATATGGTGGGATTTGTTTAAAAGTTATAAGTGTTATCCAATTATATTTACATTATATTCAGTGAGACCCCAACAATATCAACAGAAAGTAATTGTTTCATCATAAACTATATGTTAGAAATACCTATCCTGCATATGCTGCAGTATTTCCATGGCAGGCAAAGATTCTAAAATACCAATAGAAACAAGTAAAATAAAGGTGCTAAAAATAATCTCCAAACCGATTAAAATTGTATAAAGAAAAGTAGCACCAGTGAAGTGCAGAAGCACCCAGAATACACAGGTAAAGATTCTTGTCCAGGATATGTTATTGATGCAGCATTCTAACATCCAAGATGCAAGAATGTATTTGAAAAGGTATCTTGAAAGTCTAGATATTTTTGGCGGAAGCCAGATACATGGTTTCTTCACCATTCTTCTTATTGTAGTAGACTAACACATCTGGCAGCTAAATCCATGCCACAGTCAAAGTTACATAGTTCACTAATCTTCCCCATATCAGAATTTAAGTTAAGGTCTTCTATAAACACATTAGCATATCATCGTTTAAAATATTACTAATAGTACTAAATGACACTATACTTTAATATAATTTTAATACGTTACTATATACAATGAGATAATTCTGTTTAAATTCTGTTTATGTAAATCATTAGTAGCTGTGAGCCACGGAGGGACATTCAGAGTTCTATTGATGGAGAATTATTGCTTGTTAATGCACTGATCTTTTTGTGCAGGGAGACCGAGGAAGACCCGGTATCAGTTATCCAGGACCAAGAGGTCTATCGGTGAGTATAAATATCCATGGCAAAATTTGCAAACTGACCTAGGGGATTTGTATTACTCAACGAAAATTATATTTTTTTAGCATAATTGTACATTTTTGCATGTTGAATCTCTCAATAGATAACAGATTTTGTAATATATATGTATATTATGTGTATGACTTTGAAGGGCTTTGGAATATCAATGTTTTACTAAATTAAAGGTTTTTTTTGTTTGGTTCTTTAGTTTTGAGTTTGAGGAAAATTGGTCAGCTCATGGTGTTGGGTAATTGATGTATGGTGTATGCAGGACCAGTGCAAGGATTTCTTCCGCCCTAGGCAAAGATCCATTTTGCCGCCCCTGCAGATGCAGTTAACTGAACCATATGCAGTAAAATCTCACATTAGGGCAGATTTGTGTGAGTTGAAGTCACTTATAATATGTAGATATTAAGTAACCATTCCTACTAGACAGAAAAGATGAGACATGCCTTAGCTAAGTCGTGGCTGGCCTATGGCAGATGCAGGGGAATGGAAATGTTAAGCTAATGCAGGTCGAATAAACTAAAAATGCCAAAATATAATAACTTTTTTGTAGTAAAGTGTAAACTGAAAATGTTATGGATATGTCTAGTTTGGAATATAGTTTGTGAATTTGTAGTTATTTTAAGAACACTATGAGATCAAGAGATGTGATTGTAATATACTGATACAGATTCAGACCTGAACTGTATGACATTTCTATTGTATGTGACTTTTAGCTTAATCTTAAAGAAAAAAAGGAAACATGCATTTCTCAGCAGTGGTGCTGTCTTTGAGACCACGATTTATAAAAAAATAAAAAAAATAGAATAAGGAACAGTGCGCAAACAGAATAAGGAACAGTGCGCAAACAAAAATACAGTTTTAAATTTTACAAGGCGACTTAAAATCACCTATCTTGGCTAACAAATATGGGGATTCAGTTCCACCATATGGCCATATAGCCCACCACTACATCACAGTACCCCAATATCGGGGAGTCCTACACTAATTTAACATAATTTTAACAAATTAATAGTGATAGTGCTAAATGAACTAAAGTGTATTTAATTACTCTGTGGTAAGAGCATTGTGAATACATACAATGCAAAATGATTTTACTAAAAACACAATTGAAAAAAATAGAATAAAAAAAGTAAAATTTTAAGTGATAGTGCTTTGATGTATATAGTTACAATGCATATCATGTCTGCTCTATATCTGATATATAGTTGTGTTGTTTGTGTTGTTACAGGGAGATAAAGGTGAAAGTGGACCACCAGGACCAAGGGTGAGTGGCACAAAATCACTGAGCATAAAATGAAACTAGGATACTTAAGTGAAATGACCTACAGTCTGTACATTTTAAAACTTCGTACTTATTTTACTTCTGTTTTTTTATTCCATTCTTATGCACGTCAAATGCAGTTTTTATTCCCTTTCATTCAGTAGTGTTTAGTAAATACCAAATAGTCAATTAACCTAAGAGGGAAGCCGTATTCTGAACAATAACATCAGATTCCTTACAAATATCTATTAACTTGGTTCCTTATTTAGGTACAATAATTGACTTCTTTGCTAATATTTCACTAGTCTGAAATACTTCACAATGCAGAATACTGTCTAATAATGTCTAATAAAAGAGTGAAAACCAAATACATGAAAGATCAAAATGGTATAAACTGAACCAATCTTTTAGGTATCCCTGAACAGCAATTAATGGAATTTCGGTGTATTCCATGTGCCAAATAAATGCTGTTAATGATTTTTTTTAACTGAATAGAATTTGCTATTGAAAGCGTTAGTCGCTCCATTCTAGTGCTTTATTAGGTAGAATTTACAAACTGTAAACATGTGACTTGCTCGTTTTTTTTTATTATGTTTATTTCAGTATATAACACAGACAGGTTATAGCCAAGATGGATGCGAGGATGTAGATTTCAGTGTAGAAAATATTACATTCAAGAAGTGCTCACACTCAGTTTTTCTACATTTTAGACAAAATAATGTGCATATAGAACAATTTTATTCAGTTCCACTGTCAGATTGTTACCCACATTTACACCCACAGCTACAATACTCTACATGTATGTTTGACTTATATATTTCTTCTATTCCATGTACTCATGATTATCACTGTTCTCCTAGGGTGGGAGAGGAGACTTTGGTTTGAAAGGAGGAGCTGGAACAAAGGGCGTACCAGGAGAGCCTGTGAGTATCACACAGCCTGTGTTGGGTAAATACACAATTGCGACAACTTTATAGAGTTTTGGGATTACTATATAAAATAAGCTTTATTATTGACTTTTAATTTCTCTTTTCTTGCAGGGAGACCCCGGCCCTGAAGGAGAGCCAGGACCCCGAGGGCAATCTGGCGAACCTGGATCTCCGGTATAGTGAACATAATTGTCCACGTTCAGTCAGATATGACATCACAGCGCAGTTCTTACTGTATAGAATGTAAATCTAGATAACAAATAGGAAAGTGTAGAATTAAATGCAGCCACAACACAAATATTGTGCAACACATATAAAATATGTCTTTATTGTCACTAGTCCTTATAAGAAACATCAGTAGTTAAAATGTACAAGGTTTAAGTCAATCTCTAGGGGCTGATGGCTTTATATAGTTACATAGGCTGAAAATAGATATGCGCCCCTCAAGTTCAGCCTTCCTCAAATCTCATGAAGCGCTTCCAATTTTTCAACAAACTAGAAAAAAAATACTTCTTGACCTCAGAATGGCATTCAGAAGTCTTCTTGGGTCAAGAAACTATTACTCCACTAATTAAAAATTATATTCTGCAATATCATGTTTTTGCAAGTATTCATCCAATTGCTGTTTAAGCATCTGTACAGACTCTGATAAAACCACCTCTTCAGGCAGAGAATTCCATATCCTTATTGAAGTTTTTATTGCATGGTTCATTATAGTCACCCTGTGTTTCATCTTCCATCTGGTACTCCTTCATGCAAAATATTCTGATGCAGCATTATAGTGCAGTCTCACTTTCATACATACCGCATTATACAGCACCCTCAGTTTCTAGATAAACTGTATTACAGTGTTTTGCTTTCTATGTACCATCTATTATATAGTCTCACTCACACTGAATATATGATTCACATTGCTTTTTTTACTCTCCACATATACGGTATCACAGTGCTCAGTAACATTTATTACCTACTTCTGTTATTAGGGTGACATTGGCCCCTCCGGTGATCCTGGACTAACAGTAAGTATTCTTGCATTGTACAATATTCATGTGACTTGCTGTAAAGGTGTGACTTCTTAATGGGCAAATTTTAAGCAAGTAAACCTGAATGTGTTTTTTCTTTATTGAATTTTTTTTTCTTTAAACATTGGGTTGTTTGTGAACAAAAACTATTAACAAAGTAATAACAGGTAATGGTATAAAACAAATGTGTGTTTTATACCAGTGCATTTGGCATGCCCAGCCAGGATGTGCCATATTATAGGACTATGAGAATAATAATAAATTGTGTGAATTAATTAACACAACATCAGGTGTCTGGTGACGTGATGTGACAGGGCATGGCTTGGTGCATGGGAGGAAGTAGGATAACGTTTAGGTTTGGAAGGGTGCAATTGCTAATGGACTTAATTATCTAATTAAAGGGAAACTGTAGGAACTATAACAGTGTCATCTCACTTAAGTGGTTATGGTACCTGTACTCTCTGGCACTGTCCCTCCAATCAATGTTAAACAATGTTTGAGCATTTTAACATTAAATGCGGGTTCCTCACCACCACAGCCCAGTCACCATAGGGGGTATGGGTAAGAGGCGGATTAGCTATGCTTATTAGCCATGCCAATTCGTACATGCAATGGTTGACTGTGATAGGCTAAGAATAGACAGCTGACACTCACAGCAGAACATCACCATCCTCAGGATAATGTTCTTTATCCTCTAGATTGTAGGCTGTTTGACCAGGGTCCTCATCAACCTATTGTTCCTGTAACATTTTTTGTTACATAATTGTTTCATTTATTGTTAAATTTCCCCCTTATAATATTGTAAAGCGCTGCGGAATAAGTAGACACTATATAAATGCTAATGATAATAATAATAATTAGCCCAGTCAGCATAGAATAAACAGGGTACTGCTCGGGACTCTTGTTTAATGCTAAACCATTAAAAATGTTCTAATGCTGAATGGGAGTATGGTGCCAGAGTACTCTATACACTATAACCACTTTAGTGAGATCAGAACTAACAAAAACCACAGATCAGTACATGAGGGAACAAAGTATAGGAATATATATTACAGAAACTCTCTTTATTTTCACAGGACTGTGATGTCATGACTTACGTCAGAGAGACATGTGGTTGCTGTGGTGAGTTTTCATGCATAACAACAATATCGCATGGAGGGTATAAAATGTAACAACCACTACACAATAAGGTGCAAAATAAAATGGGCACCCTGAATGCCCCAACTAGACATATATCTATACAAAAATCAGGATGCACATTCAAATAGCTGCATATTATTAAATACTTGATTCAACAATACTCATGCAATTATATACAAAATAATTATTCAAACAGACAAACAAGGCTGGGCACAAATAGCAAAGTCATTACCATAAATTCCACAAGCCTTATAGGACACAAGAGTTTTCACACATACAATATTGTGCTTGTATCGTGATCTATTCAGAACTAAAGCTGGACATACAGATATATCATTACACAGTAAACATAGAATGTGTTGGCAGATAAGAACCATTCAGCCCATCTAGTCTGCCCAATTTTTTAAAATACTTTCATTAATCCATTAATGAAATTTTCTGTTGCCTTCAGCAGTGCAACTTTTAAATAATCCCATTTCTCTTGGACTCCATTTAAATTGCTCCAGTCTGATACACATCCTTTACACATATTCTAATTTTAGAAAAGTCTGTTTTTCTAAAGTCTAAAACTTTTGTTTTTGTGTGGTTTGACTCAGTCACTGTTCTTATATTAAACCACACTGACTGATGATCACTGGATCCTAAATTTTCACCTACAGTAATATCTGATACCAAATTTCCATTTGTTAACACCAAATGGCCTCTTTACGAGTTGGCTCCTCAACGACTTTGTAGATATGTACAAATGATGGAAATGCCACAATTTGGGGTTGGTTGCACTGACTACATTTCTTGTACCAGACTGACTGACTATCTGTACTGTCGTACTATCTACCTGCATGGTTATATGAGTACAACATACTAGTACATTGGTCTTTTAAAGTAGGACACAAAGTAAAGAGTTGAAAGACACAGACATACAGGCTGCTAAATTAATTTGTCACGCTGATAGTTCAGACCTTAAATAAGAATTTGTGAAGAAAATAAATGTTATTAGCAAGCTTTAAGGGATGTACATCCTGTGTTACACTTACTGATCGCTATGTATACTTGAACATGAACTACGCATGACAGTAGCAATGATTTAATTATTGCTGTACACACAAAGTAAGGGAGGTTTAATGCATTATGTTTATGTAATCATTTTAATGCAAATGTTTAATACACACCCTCTAAAAATTATTAAAATTAGTCATTCAACTGCAATGTAAATGGCTGATCATTTCCTTACCTATACTGTTTTGTTTTTGTTTGTTTATTTTTTGTTTTCTTTTGTCTTTTTTATGTAAGTAAACATTGAAAACTGTGTTAAGTCAATAGAGATATTTTAATTATTATTAGTCATCTCGCCGAACATTGGCCATGTAATAGTATGCAGAGCCTTGTTTTACCTAGATCACATTGATCGAAGAATTGATACCTAATAGTTTTGGATCCTCTCTGGGTTTTCAACATTCCACCTGGTCTGACATGCAATCAGCTTGTACTTGATTTTTTTTTTTTTACTGTATCTCTTTCAGATTGTGAGAAACGTTGTGGGGCTGTGGACATCGTATTCATTATTGACAGCTCTGAGAGTATCGGATATACAAATTTCTCTCTGGAGAAAAACTTTGTCATCAATGTTGTAAGCAGGCTGGGAGCTATTGCTAAAGACCCGAACTCTGAAACAGGTACTGCAATGATTGCAAGCCAGCATTAATCAACTGCAGCTTTAGTGGAGTACTTGGCAAAACTATCAAAATATACAAGCAATGCATATATGAAAAGCTGCATACAAAATAGTTAACAGGGTAAAATGGCTAGATGGAAAATATCTTTTCTTTGTTTATTATTTTTATGTATTTATTTTTGGCCTACTGTTTGATATACAGTGTAATTTACTGTTTAATAAATTCACATTCTATAATTTACATTGCACTGCAAGAGATCTACATAATCTGCTTTCAAAAGTGTCTCTGTTAGCGCACAGGCCTTAACTCAAAGTAGTAGTGCAGAGTATTATTAATGGAATAAAGTAAATTATATATTGGTTACCTGACAATTAAATTAATGTCATTAGAAAAGATAAATGGTCTTTTAATCTCTGGTAGTTGGTTTTCACATATGACCATAACATGTGCTGAACAAACCTTGTCATACCCTGCAGGTGCCCGAGTTGGTGTGGTCCAGTACAGTCATGAAGGCACATTTGAGGCAATCCAACTGAACGATCCCCGTATTGATTCCTTGTCCAGCTTCAAGGAAGCAGTCAGACGCCTGGAATGGATAGCTGGAGGTACCTGGACTCCTTCTGCTCTTCAGTTTGCCTACAACAAGTTAATCAAAGAGACCAGACGTGACAAGGCCAAAGTATTCGCTGTCGTAATTACTGATGGACGTCATGACCCCAGAGACCCAGATGAACGTCTCCAGGTTCTATGTGGTGGAGATGTCGATGTCAATGCCATTGGTATTGGAGATATGTTCAACAAACAGGAAGAAGATGAGACTCTGACTTCCATTGCCTGCAACCAGGCACAGCGTGTGCAGAAGATGAAACACTTCTCTGAGTTGGTGGCAGATGAATTCATAGATAATATGGAGGAGCGACTGTGCCCAGGTACTAACTAGAAATAAAATGTGGTGAATCTCTTATTAATGTACAAACCATGGCTCATGAGTGTGTGAGAGAGAATTATAAGGTGGTTCTCCCACAATAGACAAATACCAGCTGGGACCTCCTTTCACTACCGTATTGATGAGATGTTGCCAATAACTAAATATATATAATATTCATAGTTAGTGGATGACTCCAGCACAGAAACACAGAAATCAGTCAGTCAACAGATCTGCTAAATAAATCATGACTATGTATCTACTAAATAACTTACATGTTGTAAGTTAACCAATGCTAATTGTATTCATTTACAAAACACAATGCCCTCACACCTCACATGGTCTTCTCCAAGAGCTAGCTATGGGGGAGTACTTTTTTCCATTTAATTCATAACCATGTACATTAATATACAGTGTATGTCCAGCTGTCATATATCAATGCCATGGTGTCCTATGAATGCACACAGTACTGCTGAAATAATACCTAAGTGTGAATGCTATAGAGATAACTGAGTTTATTCACTGCCGCTGTACTATTCACCTGAGTAAGTGCTTCAAACGTTTTTACTAGAGTGAAAGAATGTGGAACTGTTGCATTTCTGATTTTACCAGTTAGTCAGTCTGTGTAGAAGAGGAATAAGTGGAAGGGGGACTGCAGACTGTACTCAGATGCAATCATTATTTAATTCTACTACAGTTATACCTTAAAGCAGGGGTGCCCAAAAGGTAGATCCCTAGATGTTGTTAAACATCAAGTCCCATGATGCTTTGCGTGCCTTTAGAATGTCTTTCAAATTACAAAGCATGATGGAAGCTGTGGTTTTAAAACATCTGGGGATCTACCTTTTGGGCAGCCCTGCCTTACAGGTTTAACTTTTTTTTTATTACTAATACAACGATTATCTGGTAGGATGTTATCCCAAGTTCCCCTATGAATGATCGTCCTCTGGTTATATAGTGTCTCTTTTCCTTTCTCCATTGTAATTAATATCTGAATGATCTTTACAATTGTGTATTTTCAGATCCCCAGATTGTGTGTCCGGACCTGCCATGTCAGACAGGTAATTAAAAATACAGGGACAGGTGAGAAGTTGCCTCTCAGAGCTGACACTCTATCGAGGTTCAGTGTTAGGGTACTGAAATCTGAAAGAGGAGTACATTGTGTTGAGTATGCATGTGTATGAATCGATCACTGTTAATCACTGCAAAACACGCCCCATGATGTCACCATCTCATGTACTGCTACATAGATCATCACTCGCTAACCCCTTTCAAACGCGCATGGTATGCATGGGAGGTATATGCAGCAGAAGACCTCTATCTGCTGTAGTTCAACTGACTCAGATATCTGAACAGTTTTATTTGTTATAATACCTTTTGTTTGGAAAACTTAATTACTTTGATTTTTATTTTTATTACACCCATAACAGATAACATGAATGCCTGTTTCTGCTTAAAATTTGATCAAATGATTTCCACATTGTAGAATTAACTGATGCTTGAAAAAAGCAGAATAATGTAATAAACAAAACTGTAGGACATGGCAATACAAATATAGATGGTCGAAAGGACTGGCTTTGTGACATACAGTACGTACTGCAGAGCCCAGAGAACAGGTGACGTAATTAATATTGAAAAAATAACATTACGTTAGTTGGTGACATCACATTACAGCTATCCTGCATCATATGTGTTCTGGGAGACATGCCTGGGCGTATTGGGCTAGCAAAATTGTTTAAGGGGTGAGGGAACCCTGACCCTATCCTTCTGACACTCACTTGCAGGTGGGAGGGGACCCGAGGAGATCAGCTTTCCTATAAGCATTACCCAGGTTGCTGAATTCCTTGAGACCCGGAAAGCGAATCCCGAGACTCAAATGTACTCCCAGCTGGTTGCCACGATGGTTTATACGGCTGAGAAAGCTAAACTCTCAATTGGGAAGGAGAGGCAGAATTGGACCGATCTGTTTATCCATTCTTTTAAAATGATTCACACAGACATTACAGGGGATCCAGATGTGAAAATATGTTAACAAGCTGTCCCTAATTTAGCCAAAACAGTCTATGTCCTGGTTATGTGATCAATGGGACAAACCTCTCAAACGTGCAAAATTGCTGCTACAAAATGAAGCCATGAATAACCACATATATAGAAGAGAGACTAGAAGTTGGCAGGGCCACTATATTAATAAATATATATATTGCTCGATTATATTGTAATTTATTGTATATCAGTATTGAGTATAGTGCCATTTATTAGCTGTGCTCATAAGGTGCTTATCTAGAAAATAATTTATTTAAGCAATGAAAAGGATTAATGCCTATATTACTCACATTATTAAGCTACAGTTTAATCAAAGCATCACGTGGTTTTGTTTGGGTAATGTTAGGGTCTAATTTTTTCCCTTCTCACCACAATTTGCTGCCTGACCCCACTGTCATTTCCTAAATCTGAAATGCTGAGGAAAAAAAATCTGTCCACTCAGTTTTTTTAACCTCTCATTTTCACATATTCCAAAAAAGATTTTTTGCTTAATTTTTTTATATTTTTTTTTAATTACTGTCATTCACCAATAGACAGTAGGTTTGTATTTGGGTGACATTCATACCCTGTAATTATAAAGTATTACTGGAGGTGGCTGCATTCTCTATGGCTTTGTGAAGATAATTGTTCTTGAACTATCGAAATCAACTGAATCGAGACATTTTCTGAAACGATTTTTCTTTTGGCGTAATTTGTAGCAGCCAATCAACCTTCCTTGTATGGGGCACAAGCATGATCTTTCACTACCTATAATAGATTCTGGCACAGCTGCTTTTCCTATAGCTTCACTAGTTTTGCCTGTTCCTGTTTTTCTTCTCTTCCATTTGCTCTTGATTACTATAATTATCATGTGTGTGTTTGCATTTAAATGTGTGATTGTGTTGGGTTATAGAATGTTAATGTGTTATAAATCTCACTTGAGATATAGTCACTTGTATACAAAATATCTAGGTCTAGTTAGCTTGTAAATGAGCTGTATACATTGTATGTATACACCTCTCTCCTACAGAGCTTGCAGTTGCTCAGTGCACACAGCGTCCCGTGGACCTTGTCTTCATCTTGGATGCTTCAGAACGAATTGGCAAGCAAAACTTCCAGCACTCAGCAGCTTTCGTGGAAGAGGTAGGCCGCCGATTGTCACTTGCCCGCAGAAATGATGACCCAGCCAATGCTCGTGTGGCCCTGTTGCAGTATGGAGGAAAGGATGAGCAAGATGTAGTGTTTCCCCTGACCTTTAATCTGACAGAGATCTCAGAAGGGCTTGGGCGTCTCAATTATTATGGCTCATCTTCCAACATTGGAGATGCCATAATCTTCGCCATCAACAAGGTTCTGAAGAGTGACACTCTCGGTGCCCGACGGTACGCTGAGCCATCATTTGTCTTCATCACTGATGGAGTGACTGGACGTCAAGGATTAGAGGAAGCTGTTGGTTCCATGAGAAAGAATAATGTTGTTTCTACCTTGGTATCTGTGGGACCTGACCTTGACCATGACGTTCTAAGACAACTCAGCATGGGCGAGAGAGCAGCCATCTTTGGAGAAGATGACTACTCTAAGCTGAGCAAGAGTGCTTTTATGGACAGATTCATACGCTGGGTGTGCTAGACATGATCGAGAAAGTGGGAAAGACATATACATACAAAGGCGATCATAGACACAAACCTTAATATTTCAATAAGTGAGAATACTCCAGTTAGAAAAACTCTTACAATACTGAGCATGAGCTGATTAAACAAGGGATCTAAGGTGATCTCTGATAAGTAGGGCAAATAAAAGATTGGAGAGTCTTTTCTGAATGGACACATTTCTCCCTCCTTGAAAAACGTAATGCAAAGGATCAAGGACACACAGGCAGACAAAAAAAGAGGGGACTCCTTTGACTGACACTGACATACATATAGATTGTTACACACTTTTTTATGCATTAAGGTTGTATCTTTTTTGAAGTTTGAAGAACTAATACATCTAACATGAACAGTGAATCTTGCATACAATTACAAACACACAGTCACACATCATAAGCACACACAAGTGTACAAACAAATTTTGTGTTTTCGAAATCTCTATCTTTGTTGTTTTTAGTAAAATTACTAATGGATAAATCTTAGAGTGACTCAAGACATTAGGACATCTCTAATAGTGTCACATGGATTGTGTCAAATTCATAGTGCTAAATGCAGACAATTTATGATTTCATGATTTCATGCACCTAAAACCTGTGGCAGGCAAAAGAGAGGGCTATGGAAGTTAGTGGAGATGGGTATGATGGTACTTCGAAGAGAGGGAATTATATACACCAAAAGTAGCGAACAACAGAGCTACCTGTGCATTAGGCGACTTTCTGAAAAATCTCAGATCTGATGTAATGAAAATAAAAAAGCCCTCCTGTCATATCCTGTTTCTTTCTTCATGTAACTTAATTTTCTTTAATGATTAATGATATATCAGTTCTTAATTTTAAAAGAGAATCACACAATGATGTATGTTCTACTTCACAAAAGTAATGCATGAATAAATACTGGATTTACATAAATGTACAATAGATAGGCAAAGAGACAGAAACAAATAGTGGATACCGACTCATGGAGTCGAAAAGGCATTGGTTGAGCCCAATCTGATATAATAATATCTACATGGTTCTGGAAAGAAAAACAAGATTTTGCAAAGTGAAAATACAGGTATAACACTATTGGTTCACAAGGTAAGTCATATACAGAACCATTAAAGATGTACAATCACATCCCAGGGTTTTTAATATTGTGGTTACATATCCCCTATGTGTAACAAATATGCATGTGGGAGGTGTGATAATACATTTAAATGTAGAAATTAGTGTGTTTACCCTGCATCATATTGCCTTTATCTTAGCTGGTGTTCCGCACACACAGAGCAGATATTAAACATTTTTTTTTTTTATTTCTCTTCCTGGGTTTCAATATGTGCCCTGTCTGTGTCTGGAATAAACTGGATTGTTGTTTAATTTGCTAAATCTTTAAATTACATATAAAATAAATCACAAAGAGTATCACATGACAAAAAGTTAACACAAGCTATAGGTTATAAAACAAGACAAGACAAGGAACGGTTGCGCCAAAGATTAAAAAAAAAATTCTGTTGAAAAGAACAATGAAGCACATGTTTTGCCCTCCCCTCTAGTTTTCTCCCCCCCCCCTTAAGACGATCAAAACATAATCACCACTAACCTTACAGACAAGTCCAAATTTTATCCCTATAATTTTAAATCAGCACCTTTAGTCATATCCGAAAAATCAGTTCTAAAAGACTTATATGACTCACATAACCTAACTCATGCAGAAAGGATTGCACTAAAACAACTCCAAGAAGACAATGACATAGTCATTAAACCAGCCAACAAAGGTGGATGAATTGTTATTCAATCTAGCACCTTACATATAGAGGAGGTCAACAGACAATTAAACGATCAAGAAATATACGAAAAGTTAACATAAGACCCCACCCCCAATATACAAAAAACGTTATCCCAATTCTTAAAGAACAGATTAGATTCCGGAATCCTAACTAAACATGAATTCAATTACCTTAATATCAAATTACCAAAAACCCCTGTCATATACGTCTTACCTAAAATACATAAAAATTAAAAAATACTCCCTGGAAGACCAATTGTGTCTAGAATTGGTTCCCTCTTATGTAATCTATCTCAATATATAGACACACTACTCCAACCCTCTGTGAAAATTATGAAATCATACCTCAAAGACACTATGTCCCTACTAAACTTTAAACAATTTTATATGGCAACCCAATTTTATTTTTGTAACTTGTGATGTGCAGTCCCTTTATACAATTATTTCCCACACAATAGGATGTCAGGCCATTAAAGACATCTTAACTACAGAAGGAAGAACAGCGATGGGGACCAGGTTTGCTCCCAGTTATGCCAACCTGTTTATGGTGGACTGGGAATCCTCAGCTATCTGGGGAGGACACCAGTGGCATTCAAACCTGATCACCTATTTTAGGTATATGGTGTAAAGGATCCTTCTATTCGTGCAGCGATGATCCTTGCAGCTTCTCCTGAAATCCAGCTGAAACAAAGTGATTATAATTCCCAATCCCCCAAACATGAGTTGAGACTTCATGAAGGGGTAAAACGATTTGATTTACTGTGAGCTACCCGCCCGGAATTTATGCAGGTCTCCCACCTGGTGGACACTCCCCTAGGGGACCAGATGGAAGACTGGGACAAAAGTATCACAGTAGCCAATCACAGTGGCTATAGCATAAGCACTCCCCTTTTACATAAATCACTCCCTCTTTTCCATCCTGGAGATAATTAACTTAAGGTAGCAAAGAGAGCCTTAATTATCTCCAGGTAGAAAGAAACATGGCTTTTATTATTTTAGCAAACCAGCATAAAAATCTATAACTTTCCTTTTACATAACATAAACTTTAAGTCCCACATATCCCCAGATAACTTGGATCTGAGTGCATATTCTAGGCGAATAGCGCTCAGATCCCACGAACACAGTTCTCAGAAACGTCGACTGAAGTTTGACTTTCGCCAGCCGTTCGTGTGTTTGTAGCCAACTACAAGTTCCATACTGTAGCCATCTGGGGTCGGTCACTTTCGCATACTTCCAGTGCACGAATGAAGTAGGATCTCCTTCATTCGTGTGTTTTTCCACCGTACGAACTAGGTTTTGAAGAGGTAGCAGCGGTGTTCGACAAAATAAGTAGCCGAAATTAGTTCCAGGGAATCCTCGCCATTTACCGCTGAGCGTTCGACAATACAAAATGGTGATTGCCACGTGTTCGGTAAACGAACGCAGACCACCAGCTATTCCCCAATTAGGCTGTGGTTAACCGCAACAGTCTGGGTGGTTAATAGGCGCCACACGACCTCAGTGGGAGGTCGGTGGTTCGGTAGTTAATTTGCTTTTCTCGCTATTTTCACGAAATCCCGCTGTAATCATCCAAATAACCGAACGGGCTGGTTCGCATGGTCTGTTTAATAAGGGATTTCGTTACATATAGATTACATTTTTTTTTTATCTGGGAAGGCACAGAAGACAGTTTAATTTCTTTCATCAATAATCTTAACAATAATAGGGGTATTATTGTAACACATGAATATAGCAGGGAATCAATCAACTTTTATTAAGAACGGACAAATACAAACTAAAACTTTTTTTTAAAAAGTCTGTGTCAACACAGCTATGGATAAATCAAGCTGCACTACAAACCTTGGCTTGAAAGTGCCCCTGAAAGCCAATTTTTATGCCTCAGAAGTAACTGCTCTCAATTAGAAGATTTTAATGAACAAGCAAATAAGATAAAAAAAATATATTGAAAAAAACTACGCACCAGTCAAATTAAATTATACGGTAGATACAAGATCTTTCCTTTCTTCTTTTGTTATTGAATAACAAAAAAAGAAAGGAAAGATCTTCTAATATATAAAGACAAAAGTACTAAAGATTCACTATCCCTCCCCATCATTTTTTATTTTAATAAAAGTGGACATATAAAAAAGGTAATAAGAAAACATTGGCATTTATTAAAACGCAACGAGACATTAAAACAAAGCAGACCCGAACAACCGAAAAAAAACCCATAATATTTAGACGGGTCCCTAATTGCAAATCCATTTTAACTACTAATTTTACCAAGGAAATCAAACCCAAAACCAAAACAACACCCTCCTTTTTACCTGAAGCCAAAGGATTTTACAGGTGTAAAAGATGTATAGTCTGTAAAAATACTGACCCCTCTATCCCATCAAAAACTACACAATTCACTTCTAAAAGAACAAAGAAAACCTATAGAATTAAAGACTTTATTGGATGTGACACAAAAAATGTTTGAATGCCCATGCGGTCTCCAGTATGTGGGAATGACTATGCAAAACCTAAAAATAAGACTTCATGAACACTGCAGGAATATTGAAAAAGGATCTCAACCATTCAGTATCGAAACACTTAATTTTACATAACAATGATCCAAAATTACTTTTATTGGTATCCAAAAATTTACTGTTCCTTGGAGAGGGGGTAATGTTAAAAATATCCTAGGTAAAAGTGAAATGGAATGGGTATTCAATCTACAGACACTCACACCCCATGGCCTCAACGCAGAATTGTATTTATTTATTTTTATATAATGTCATTATGCCTTTTACTGTATACCCTCCCTCCCTTTTCTGTTTTATTTCCATTTTATTTTTAGTATTTCCCACCGTTTTAATATATACATTATTGCAACATTTTTCTGAATATTATGTATCCATGAGGAAGCCGACATGATGAAACTCGGGATCACCCACAGGATCTACTTCTGGACAATTGTTCTTCTATTTGTTATTTTATAGATTGTAGTGTTTTAATCTAAATAAATTTTATTTTCAACGAAATTAAACGCTTTTTCTGTGGGCTCCAGATCCAGTTGTTCCAGCATCCTAAGAAGGATTTGCGTCCCCTATTTGACACTCAAGCTGTTACACTTAGAGCCAAGTTTACAAGCTCTAATACAGAAGGAAAATCAAGATATATCATCTAGAGGGTTTGTGACCCCTAATACATGCCTGTCAGAGTGATCTGAACCTGTCCCAACAAGGCTCAGAACCATATGAGTGAACCCAATTATCGAATTATCCTATTTTGACCAACTTTGATATGCTAGACCATATTTGCTATTTTCCCCCTCAGGTTTCATACAAGCTCCAGGGGGGTGAGTTATTCTATTTCTAACGCTCCACCTCTTCGCTTGGGGCTGGATTTTTATACCACACAGTTGAACACAATTTCTAAAAAATACTTAATAGCTACATGTCACCCCTTCCCTATTCTAGGACTGACAGCCACCATTCCCATCATGGCCACCGTCACGGCCGCTATTCACAACACAGCAGCCAGACATCACAATATACGTGCTAACGCATGCCCTTCCCCATTACAGCCATCCATCCCATTAGGGAAACGCCAGCCACCATTCACAATATGGCCGCTGTTCCGGGCGCCATCTAACGATGCCCCACACTGTTACTATTATGTGTGCCGACCTCGTCATAGACGTTCCGGAGTACACCGCAATGCCCCTTGTAATGGCCAACCACGACTGTAACTTAAGCTCCCAATGCCACTCCCAATATGGCCACCGGCATATACGACCGCCAACCACAATATGGATGCCGCCTAATACATCATCCATGCCACCATAGAAGTTCCCAATGCCACTCCTAATATGGCCGCTGGCATATACAGCCGCCAACCAAAATATGGCCGCTGTCTAATATATTACCCATGCTGTCACGTGACTCTACTTATTTTACTTATACTAGCCTCTAAGCCCTTCATTTTTTACTTATTTGATTACAAAAAGCATTTAATTTAAGTACTATATTTAAAAATATGTATTTCTTTCTTCTTTTATGTCAACTATGTACATATTAATTTTTAATTGGCAAACCTAATTTTGGCACCAATTTTAACCATTTTAGCCCTATATAAACTATGCTAAGCAGTAATAATCTGAAGAGATGTCTTTCCATTTAGAAAAGGCTTGTGAAGTTGAGGTAATTACTGAAATTGCTTTGACAGTACATATAAACTCCTCCTAGTAACTGAAAAAGAAACTTTAGAATGATTCACAATCATCGCAGCCAATATTCTACAAATACTCTGTAAGCTTCTAATCAACTCCCAACATCCACACCCCAAGCCCTTTCATTTATTCATTTTGGCAAACTAGAGCAGTAAAATAAAAAAGCCATTTAAGGTAGGTAAGAGCCACAAATCTCTTATGCAGACTTGCCTAACCAGACTGATTTCAATCTCAGTGTATGCGACAATGCATAAATTCCTCTCCATCTGTTCTCTTTTCACCATTAATTATACCCTTTCTAACACCATCTCTTTCCTCCTGTATAAGTTCTCCAACTTCCAAGGCCTTTTTTTCTTTAGTCCCTTTCTTCTACAAGTCCTGTATTCCCTCAAAATCTCCTCCTTTTCCTAGATCTATTTTTTTAAAAACATTCTGTGTTTATTAGGTTGATTGTTTTGGCATAGAGTCAATCATTACACAGATAGATATACATTAGGGATGTGCATGGGGAAAATTTGGAGTTCGGTTCTGCTCGGCATTCTGAAATTCGGGACTATGGCAATTCGGAACTTCAGGACTTCGGCACTTGGGCACTTCGGTTTGGTTCGGCACTTCGACACTTCAGAACTTCAGCACTTCAGCACTTCGGAATTTCAGAACTTTGGGACTTCGGCACTTCTGGACTTATCTTGCAGCCGCTTAGTAGATAACTACCTCATTCCCACGGTATTAGTGAGTTATCTACAAAGAGGCTGAAAGACCTAAATTGGTCTTTCAGACACATTTACTAATATTAAGTACAAATTACTTAGTATTAGTAAATTTTGCTCCTACTCGCTATACCGCGAGTAGGGGCATGTCTATTAACAGGCTGCTCACTGTTAAAAAAACAAACAAAAAAACATTCCCCCCCCCCCATGAGCGGCGGGTGGGGCCCTAAATATCAATAAGGGGGGAACTATTGTCCACTCCTCGGCCCCCACCCCTGAGCGATGAGTGGGGGCCCTAAATTAGAATAAGGGGGGGACCTATTGTCCTCCCACCTGGCCCCCACCCCTCAGCGGTGGGTGAGGGCTCTAAATACTAATAAGGGGGGACCTATTGTATGGCCCCCACCCCTGAGACCTAAATAAAGATGTAACCCCCCCCAAACCCCTAGCCACCCCATCCAAAAAAAATAACCCCTACCTACCCCCCTCACCTAATGAGGGGTGCCATAAACTAGATACCTGTAAAAAAAAAAAAAACAATTTACCATTTGAAGGCTTCTTTCTTCTAAAATCTTCTTTTTTCAGCCCCCAAAAAGGCCAAATAAAAATCCATAATAACCTACACAATTTGAAATCAGGGGTGGGGGCCAAGGGGGAGGACAGTAGGTCCCCCCCTCATTGTTATTTAGGGCCCCCACCCACCGCTCAGGGGTGGAGGCCAGGGGGAGGACAATAGGTCCCTCCCTTATTCTAATTTAGGGCCCCCACCCACCGCTCACGGGTGGGGGCAGGGGGGAGTGGGGAAACGTTTTTTTTTTTTTTAATTTTAACAGTGAGTAGCCACAGGCTGCTCACTGTTTAATAGACAATACACTTGTATACAGTGTAACTGTGGAAAACCTAGCCACTTGGACTAAACAGAGACAATATGTTTTTAAGGGTTGCCTGTATCTTTAATACCATTGTATATGTGCCTGGTTGTAATCTGCTGTATCCTGCATGCTGTATTGCTTGTATTGGCTATCTGCTGAAAGCAGATAGTCATTTTCTATTTCGTTTCACGAACGGCACCTTTGCGAGCCGTTTGTGAACCGAATGAACTATCTTTTAATAGCCCACACACTAAGGGGCGTGTGGCACTTGTTATCCGATTGCAACAATGTTGCAATCGGTAATTAGAGGCTCTCCTAGGTGGCCGCCGTTCGGCTACCGACCACGCGGCGGTCGGCCATCTTGGATCCTTTGTTCCCCAGCGGTGTTTGGTCGTCGAGCGCATGGAACTTAAAATGGCTACGCTGGGCTTCCAGACCATTCGGGAGTCCTGGGCCTTTCGGTAGTTTGATCCATCTATGTCAATCGGTACTTTTAACTTGTGTTATGAATAATGTGTTTTTCGTACGGCGTTTGGTTGTTTTAGCTGGGATCTGAGCGGTATTCTCACGAACGGTGGGCTCAGACCCCAGCTATCTACCGAACGTCCATTCGTTGAAATCTGTCAAGTATTCGAAAAGTTGTGTATTTTAATGTGAATTGTCGGTTCTGCTGCACGGAGGGATAATCCACTTGACGGTATATTCCAGTGGGAGTATTCCTCTCGTGCAGCAGTGCCTGATGGGAGAAATGCCCAGAATGTGAAGTCCCCCATGTAGTCCCCTACGGTATTACCCCTGCTAAGGCAGTATGGAAACCCCTTGCATGGGGACTTGCATAAATATTGGAGCTGCAAATAAAGACCTCAGTTGACTCCCAGAACTGTGTTTCGTCCGGTTACTGGGGGATTTGGGATATTGCCTTGCTTTTCAGCGCTGACTGTGGATTACTGTATGTACCAGCGGAATTCGTGGGATTTAATATTGCCGGTCCGCTACAGTAACATTCTTCATTCTTCCACTGGGTAAGTATATTAATATTTAGGCAATACTGTGCTTCGGAACTTTGGCACTTTGACACTTCAGAACTTCGGCAACTTCGGAACTTCGGCACTTCCGAACTTTGACACTTCGGAAATTCAGCAATTTCGGAACTTTGGGACTTTGGCTATTCTGCACTTTCGGCAATTCAGCTATTCGAACATTCGGATGTATTCGGACATTCGGATGTATCCGAATGTCCGAATTGCCTGAAATTCGTCCGAATTGCCATTCGGAACGAAGCAAATTGCACATGTCTAATATACATACATTTGTAACACAAATCACCAGGCATTCAGGTTACATTACATTGTTTGTGATACTTTATACACATGTATGCATTTTGCCAATACATTCTAAGGCTGTTATGTTTGTGGCTCGTGTTGTTCGAGTGGGTTTGGTTTAGGGCAGGGTGTTATCCGTGTGCTTATCCGGCTGGCACTTGAGTCTATTTGTGGCTCTATGGCTTTTATTATCGGGAGTCAGAATGTGATGAACATAATTTAACAAAGATGTTAATTGAACTATAAAAAAAAAAAAAGGAATAGATATACCAGTGGCCCAAGGTGATGGGTTAAGGTTGGCCGATGTGTAGATCGGCTCGCTAGAATTGGTTTCCTGTTGTAAGCCAAGATGTTTAGTTCGGAGACAGTTTGGTGCCTATCTGGTATGGGTGAGGGGAGAGAGGAAATGGGAATGCCTTAAGACTTTCTGAGCTTGTAGGACTCTAGCCCAGGCTCCTTTGTGGGCCAGTGGCAGTGACCTGGGCTAAAGTCTTTGGGTGTCTACATTGGGTGAGTATCACTTGTTTTCAGTCTGCTGTGTTGAGGGCTTGGTCTCCCTCCTAGCTGGGTGGTGGGCTCCTGTGTTTTGTACAATCCTATCCCGCGACTGTTCGGTGCACTCTGCCAGGTTTTACTGGGTAAATGGTGGCAGACTAGGGAAGGTGGAAAGGGGGTAGAGGACGTGGTGGTTATAGAGGTGGAAGAATGGGTGGATGGTTGGTCTCTCCCCTACTCCCCCGACACCCTGTGTGTGGGTATTGTGTCAGCAGAGGATGTAGGTAAGTGTGTTGTGGTTATCAGGTTTGAATGTTTCTAGCTGAGACTCGGCTCATTGAGCCATGGGTCCCAAATTTTGTAAAAGTGGTGAGATGTTTTGTGTATTAATGCTGAGATCCTGTCCATTTCCATTGCTTCCTTTGTTTTGCGAATGACTGTCTGTAGTGTCAGTATGTTCGGTGAGCCCCAGAGCTCTGCTATAGCTCTTCTCGTTGTCGGGGCTGTTCTATTAGTCAATTTGTTTGGGGCTCTGGTTAAGGAGTCCCATTGTTTGGAGAGGAGCCAAATCCACGGGTCTAATGGGATGGTTGTTTGTAGGAGGTCCGAACCAGCTTAGCGACCTCTGCCCACAGTGGGGTCAGTTTGGGGCAGTGCCACCAGAGGTGGATATATGTTCTCCTGTGCCCACATTGTCTCCAACAGAGGTCCGAGTCTGACCTTCCCATTCGGTAGCGTCGTATAGGTGTTAAGTACCATCGGAGCATGGTCTTGTAGGCCTGCTCCTTATGATTCATGCATATAGAGATAGAAGCTGTAGCTTCACAGATATCCTGCCAGTCAGATGCTTCATCCAGAGGTCCCAGGCCTCTCTCCCAGGCCAACAGATAGGCCAGTGCCCCCGAAGGCTGGTTAGTGATTAGGAGTGTGTAGTTGTCTGTGATCTGACCCTTGTGAACCAGGCTTTGGGTGCAAGCTTTTTCATTGGTGGAGAGTTTGGTGGCGGCTGCTGTCCTGTTTTCTGGGTGTTCTAGTATGCATTTTAGTTGGAGGTATCTGATGAAGTCATGGGTGTTGTATGCTCTGGCATGTCGTGGTAAGTCATTATAAGGAATTATGCTGCCTCTCGCAAAGAAGTGGTACAGACTATAAAGGTCATATTCTTCATTGTAATCAAATTCTTTGGGTGTCATGACCAGGGGGGATGCCCTATTGTGC